AGGATATGTTTTAATGCTGATGTAGCCACCTTCTCCCTGAGGAGAGGATCTCATGGTTTCCTGCACGTGGACCAAATGCCAAGATGGCAGTCCATCTCATCTCTGCTCTTTTCTGGTGAATTACCACATCCTTCCTTTAACTCCATCCCATTCCTTGGTCAGGGAACACACACACACACACACACACACACACACACACACACCGACCCCACAGAACTTAGGAGAATGTCTTATGTCTCTTTGTAATTCAAAACTCCGACTAAAATAAACCGTATCTTTTGTTATATTTTTAATTAACCATATCTTAATCCATTTAGTTCCACCCATATTTACGGACTGATTTCATCTCATTTATATATACTGGGTCCACCTTACATCTGATAAAGCTGGTACCTTAAAGTTGTCCATGTACCTACTGTACTGTGCACACCTCTGTTTGGAGTTGGCTGTCAACACTTCACACATGTGAAATCAATCGTGTGATAGTCATGTAAACAGCACGCATGACAAACTGGTAGGCATTTTATTGTTCTAACAGGGAAAATAGGCAAAATGGGTGCACGTGTGTGTTTTTCCTACCGTCCAGACAATAGCATGATATAAATGACGGTATGCGTTTTACAAAAGAGGAATCAAATTATAAAAAGATGTAAAAGCAAGGTGGGGGGATGGTTGAAGAATGCCTCATGCTAGGAGAGTCTAACAGGACAGTGGGGGCAGGAATTATGCACAGGGGAGAGATTTTTATGAGAAAAATTGTCATTCGTAATGTCACTGTCCCTTCATTATTATTATAATCTCATTTCCAAATTGCATGTGCAATACAACCAGTTTTCGCAATGCTTTAATGGGGAGTCCATTGCTTTAGTTTAAAAAATAGTCCATTTTCTTGTGCTGAGAAAAGAGCACATTGCCTTTAAGAGCATTGTAACTGACAAGACAGAAGGATTCAGGCAGGATGTCGAGGCTCAAGCTTTTCAATCACCTGCCATTAATATGATTCGATTTATGCTTATGTCATAGGTTTAGATATCGCACAGCGCTGTAAGCAGGGAAGGGACTTGAATAAAATACAGGGACGAAAGCAGATGGTATGCTATCAAAACCCTTCAAGCCTAAAATAACCTTTCCCAAGTAAGGAGGATAGTTAATTAAAACCAGGATATATTTACTCTATTCTGAATATCTCAATGTAAATAAAAATCAAAATGACACCACTGTAATGTGGGACTAAATGATGAAATTTCATCTATTCTATTTTTCTTTAATAGTTTCTAATCAAACTTTTCATTAAACAGCTTCATAAAATTCCATGGAGAATTTATTTATAGGGATTCATTGTAGATTTAAAAGCCTTACTTTTATTGTTCAATTAAACCTGTTATTCAGTGGACAACATTGAAACAGTGGGGAGGGGGGATGATGTCTGAGCAGTTGGAAGAGGCTGTCACACGCACAGAGGATGTGGGTCATCTCTGCCCAAGAAAGCCTAGTTTGGGCTCTAAAGCCACTGCCTGGGTTCGTCCCAGCCCTGGTCCACAGACTCATATTCCTGTCCCCCTGGTAAAGAGAAGGCACCAGTCCATTTATTGGGGGCAAACCAAGTAAGGGAAGGCCAACGGTTCACCCAGGGTGAAGGCAGCCATTCTTAACATGGAGAGTCAGGACATGAATTGTCAGTGATCTAGGTATTTCCAAAACTTTTCTATTAGCCTTTCTCCCTATCCTTTTTTTTTTTTCTCTTAAGTTTTTATTATTTATTTACTTTTGAGAGAGAAAGCACGAGTTGGAGAGGAGCAGAGAGAGTGGGAGAGACAGAATCCCAAGCAGGCTCTGTGCTGTTGGCGTGGAACCCAATGCGGGGCTTGAACCCACGAGCTATGAGATCATGACCTGAGTGGAAGTCAGATGCTTAACTGACTGAGCCACCCAGGCGCCCCTCTCCCTGTCCTTTAAAACCAGACCCAGTCCTGCCTTTTTCATGAGGCTTTCCCTGACCCCCCTCCAAGGATCACCCCCCTCCCTGCCCTGGCCAGCCCAGTGCTAAATTCCTCCTGTGCTTGCTTTCTGCAACACTCACCAAATACTTAATCATTGACTTTCTTGTAACATTAGTTAACCTTTCAGGTGTGTTAATCCTGTCTTCCCCAATTAGATTTTTAAATCCTCCAAGCAAGCAAGAACCGTGTTTTATTTATCTTCTGAACGCCCTCTCTCACCCCCACTCCATAATCCCATTTAAGAGGAGAAAGCAGAAAATATATTAGTTAATAAAACAAACATTATTTAATCATAGGAAAGCAGACACTGTCCTTTTGAGAAGGGCCTTGCAGGTACGTTATGGCAATTTATGAATTCCATGTGTCAAAGGTGTAGCTGATAAATGCTATAAACCCTTTGCCATCAGCTCCACCATTCACCCACCTGGTGATATGGCTAATAAAATTTGATTTTTACAGCCTAGGCATACTGTTACCTAAATTACATTTGACCAATTACTGAAGTCACCAAACGTGTGGTACAGAATATATACTGTGTAGAAAATTCATCTGTGGGCCCCCTGGCACTCGCGGTAATCTGACAGAAGTGCTTCAGTCATCTGGCAGTGTTTAATATTAGGAACATTTGTTTAATGCTAATGAAATTTATGTTCTCCTACCAACTGTTAGTTGGTTGGAGAAACCCAACCCCACATTTTAACAAACTCTTTAACCCATGTTGCTTTCAAATACAACCAATTGGAGGTTTAAAAGGGTGTTTTCTGGAAATTTAGATGTGTGACCCAACATGGAAGGTGGGGGAGGGATGTTGGCGAAGGTATGCAAATCAGGTCAAAATACCCCCCTTCCCCGGGGGCGGGGGGCAAGGGTGTCCACTTAGGAGAATGAAATACTATACGAAGTACAAACTCAACTAATATTAAAGATTAAAGAAAAATCTAATATTCTAATGATTAGGCTAGCCATCTAAAAACTCTTTAAAGGTACCTTTATTCCAAAAGAAAGCTTCCACTTAAGAGGCTGGAGAAGAAAAACAGCATTAAAATTAGCTTTACCAGAAGAAAGTTCAGGAAAACATTCAAAAGTCAGATGCTTGTGTTTGTGAGAACATTTAAAACTAATTTAGTAACTCTTAACAACCATTGTGATCACTGTTAAATTGGAACTTCTTTCTATTACCAATTCCAGACACAACAGCTTTCAAGCTCAATGACTAATAACTCTTAAATTAGCCAAAAAGGTTAAAACATTTTTCATGTTACATTGTGATGCTCTTTGAATACTCTTAAGTGAGGGAAAGCATTCTTTCAGTTTTATTTTGTGTCAGAAATTTACAGACCTCTTCAGTGGCAAGCAGGACAGAGGGGTTTGGACGTCAGGGATATGGGGGAAAAAAAACAACCCTCAAAACAGAAGTGTTAAAAAGGGAAGATTTGTAGAGGTTGATCTGAAAAGAGAAGGTATTAAAAAATGTATTGGATACATTCATCTACTTGAATACAAAAGTTATTTGAGTATTAAACAATTCTTCTTGGAACAAGGAGAAAATAACTTATAGAAACACTACTATTCTCTTATAGAATGGCAGTCGTTCGGTAAGCCAGAGCTGTGAAAGGCATCCGACAAAAAAGTTTGTAAGGAAAAAAGAAAAAGCCAGGTCCGATGAACCTAGGTGCCCTACTTCTTTCCTCCCTTCTTCGTTGGATTATACATCATCCCCTCATCCTCACCCCTACGTACAATACCCCCCTGAAACAGGTGGAAGGCTGCCAAGGTCATGAATACAGTGGATTTCTCAAACCATGCTGAGGCCTGCAATTGTTTAGCAGAATAATCTGAACCTGAATAACCCACAAACTAGGGATCCTTGGGAAAGCATTAGCCAATGGAATCAAGGAGTGTTCCAACTCAAGGGGACCCCATTAGTGCTCCCTCTGGGCCAGTGGTCTCAGACTCTTCTTCACCCCAGGACCCATGAGAGATTCAGCATGGGTCGGTCATCATACTGGTCGCTCCATGGTGGCAATTCCCAAAGAAGGGGTAGGTGGGGGAGTTTCATGCCTCTGTAAGTACAGGAATTTCCAGGGAACATTTATAACTTGATAAAGCACCCCCAGGGCATTCTGATATCCCTGCCCAGCCTATTGAGGACCACGATATGATCCAGTCTCCTCAACACACAGATGAGAAAATGAAGATGTGAGAGATGTGACCCTGGCTTGCCTCCAGTCATTCACTGCATCATGCAAGGTCTCCCAAATGTATATCTCTTCTCCTCCTTCACTTCTATCTATAGAGACACATGACTGATCAGCTAGGCAGAGATGCAGATAAAGATATGTGTGCATATATCCATCTTTGGTGGGCATGGTGTACAAAAAATATATATAGATATCTGAATATAGATATATAAATAAGTATAAAAATATACACAGATATCTGAATATAGATATATAAATAAATCTTTCTATATTTTTTATACACTGTGCCCACCAAAGATGGATATATATGTGCATACATACATATGTATGAAAAAAATTAAGGGGCATGGGGATCTATCTATCATCAGTCTATCTGTTCACCTTTATAGTACTGAAGTAGTCACAACTGGTGCATTTTTATAGTTCCTTATAACACGGAAAAGGGCGTGATCAATTAAAAACAAAAATCAGTATCCAAATAGCCAAAGCCTTCGAAGAAAGAACTAACACGGAAGCTTCTTGTCTGAAAGTCCAATTTCAAGGTCGACCAAGCAACTTTGGACCCTATACTGAACAACAAATTCTAAATAATAACCTTTTACCCTGGTAAACAGAGGCTCCCGAAGAGGCAATGACACTTCATGCCACAATAATTTTGGGGGGAGGGGAGGGGAGGGGTGGCACACAGAGATTGTGAAAATAAGCCTTGTTCCCCATCACCGCTCTTTCCAAGAACCGAAAAGAACTAAACACACACGCGCAAGTTTCAGGTAGGAAAAAAAAAAAAAAAAAGACTCACCAAACTCATCGCATATACTCTCATTTTCAATGAGAGTTGGGTGGTCAAACGTGTCTCGACAGTACAGGATCTGAGGGTTCTTGCTGACCACCGCAATGCCCCCCAGGGCTAACGCAAACTGGTCCGTTAGAATAGAAGATGGCTTATCCTGGATGCGTTTCAGCATCGATCGGTACCGGCAGTACTGAGGGTAGCTGAGAACGATCACGTTGGTTTCTTCATCGTCCTCCCCTAGACAAACGAGAAAAAGCTCCCATTACTTTCTTCCCTCCAACAAAGAACTGTCCGGGCTATGGCATGATTTCAGTGATCACTCTGGTTTTGTATTAAAATGTGTCTTCAGTGAGACTCTTCTACCAAGTCATGTTTGTCTCTGTCTGGCTGACGTGGGCATTCTCCCAGCCCCACTTCACCAACCCAATTCCACTAAAAAGCCTCGAGTTACTGGTAGGGAAAAGAAAAAGTGGGGGAAAAGAAAGAGATGGGGTGATCTCATAGACAGATTAAGCAATGTTTGGGTCACCAGAAAGCAGCAGAACCAAAAAACTGTTTTGAAAGAGTCTGATATATATTTTAAGCATTAAAGTCACTCATCATAGGAAAAATCAGAATTTTGTGGAGCTTCTTTATACATATTTCCAGAGTCTGGTATTGCTACATTTTTGGATTATATATTCTTTCAGTGCTGGAAGTCTCTGTAAAGGTCATCTGGCCCCAGAGAGATGTCCATAAGTTCAAATAGCATCATCATCAAATCTGATGGTGGGTAGTGCCATTCAACAAATATTTCTGGTTCTCTTTATGGTCGTGTGGAAAGACCATGCTTCCTGGCCCACTGGAGTCAAGTGACCATGTGACTTGTTTTGGCCAATAAAATGTGACAGAAGTGAGTGGCTACTTTAGGGGCCAGTGTTTGACTGACAACACTCTCTTTCCCTTTGTCCTGGGCATCTGTAATGATTCAGATAGTGGCTACTCTGCCATTCAGGGTCTTGGAGTAAGAATCACATGGAGCAGAGACCCCTCCTTGATCCTAAATGGACACAGAACACAAGCACAAAAGGAACCTTTGTTGTTGTAAGTGAGGCTGTGCTTTGGGGGTTATTTGTTTTTGCAGCATGATCTATCCCAACTTGATTGATACCTCCACCTTCTTTGCCCTCCCCCCTTCTCCTACCCCCTACCTTCTAATGTTCCTCCAATCCATCTGGTAACTTGGCACATCTCAGAGAACCATGCTGAGAGGACTCCCCAAGCATCCTTGTGACAGCTCCATCAGAACCAACTTAGCTCAGAACATTTCAGCCACTTTAATGAAACTCTCTTTTACAATGATCTTAATGTTTATCTACACCTCTCTATATTAAGTGATTATTTATAAAAACCAGATTCTGCATGGAGGAATCCTGCCTTCATCTTAAGCCTGAGAAATGGCAAAAACTCCCCTTTGGTAGCCTGCCACCTGCACAATGTCAAGCTGAATTTAGGCTCCATGACCCAGTCTGCCATCACTCTTTATAACCACTCCGTCAGGGCGTTTGTAAGCAATTCCCAGATATGTCACTGGCTTATCCAAAGGGAAAACACTCAATATTTTGAGTCCTTACCATGCTGCAGGGAATTGCACAAGACAGTTGTTAAGGATACCAACATTATCGTGGCCATCTGGTAACCAGTGGGAGACAAATGAGTCAGGACAGAACAAATGATAGAATATAACCAGTACCAGTGGAAGGTGTGCATGTGACCTTTTCAGATAGGAGGCCAATACCCAGATGTATTTCTAATTATGTTCACTTAGTTCCTCAGGCTGGAGGCTTCTTTGAGAATGGAGATGTTTAGCTGCTTTTAAGATGACATCTTTTAACAGTTTACATTTCTTAGACTCCTGCCTGGTTGTGGGTAGTCACTTTGTCAGCTGCCATACTGAATTAAAAGGAAATATGTTTACATTGAAGGCAAGTCCCCAAATGAAGTACAGTTTTTAAGATGCTGAAATATGCCCCAAGGCATTTAAATTTGAGATTTTTATGGCAGACCCAGACCCTAGTTCACACTTTGGGTTCAAATCTGTGCTTTCTATAGAGTTCAAGCACAAAGAATTTTATAGGAACTATCCACCAAACATCATCAGAACTCCAGACCACTGAAGCGGCCCCCAACGTGTCAACTGTATTATTATGCTGTATTTGTCCAAGACATTGTGGATGAGAGAGGGTATAACCATGGACTCTGAGGACTTATTTCAGCATGCTCGTCACCTAATACCATGTCTGTAAAGAGTAAATACTGTGCAAATCTATACACAGCTTCCAAAATTCTATCTTGGTTGTGCTGTTGGCTTTCTGTACGGGGGCAATGGTTGCACTAGTTTCTCCAAGTGGTCTTGAAATGGAGGGCATCCTGCTTTTCAGGTGGAATGATGGCAGAAGAATGGATGCTTCAGGGTTAGTTTTATAGCAGAAGATGTCACCTGCATTCTTGGGACCATTTCACTTCCTTCTTGTCCCTTCATTCTCTTTCTGTTTTTCTCTGATCATTTTTCATGATAATGCCATCTCTAACCTCTCCCTAATTCTCTGGAATCTGCTCCCTGGCTATCTTTCGTGCTTAGAAATGACCTGGTTTTTGTTGTTGTTGTTTGTTTGTTTGTTTGTTTTTGTTTTTTCTCTTCACCTCATCCTAGCTCCAAACATTTATCCCTCTTTCTTCATGCAGTTCCCAAAACACAAGCCAAGCCATGAATCCTCTTTCTGTTGGAAGAAAAGCTAGCAATTTCCCTCTGGTCCAAGTCATGGAAATATGTCCTATGATATCCATTCATTTTGGAGATATTACCTCTAAGAGTGCTCCCAGGACTGCCCGCATCAGAATCGCATAGAGTAACTAAAAAGGCAGGCCCTAGGGGCCTATCGAGGACCACTAACTCAGAATCTTGAAGGTTAGGGCCCAGGAATTTACATTTTTAACAAGCTCCCAAGTAGTTCATGCACATTAAACTTTGAAACCACTACCTCAGAGTCTGAATTTAGCTTTTGCACAGATGTATAATAATTTATTCAGTTTGGGTTTTGATTTCTGTTTCTGTATGTATGTGTAAACACACACACACACACACACACACATACACACTCCACTTTCAATGGGAATATGTCTCGACAACCCATTATAAGTTGAAAATACCCTAAATTGAAAAGACATTGAATACACCCAATCTACCAAACGCCGTAGCTTAGCCTCACCTACCTTAAATGTGCTCAGAACACTGAGATTGGGCAAAATCATCTAACACAAAGCCTATGTTATAATAAAGTATTGAATATCTCATGTTATTTATTGAGTACTTTACTGAAAGTGAGAAACAGAATAGTTGTGTGGGTACAGAATGTTACCAGTGTGTCAGTTGTTGACCCTCGTGACCGTGTGGCTGACTGGGAGTTGTGGCTGGGGGCTGATGGCAGGCACCAAACAGTATTGTGCCCATATCGCCAGCCTGGGAAAAGATTCACATTCAAACTCAAAGTACAGTTCTATTGAATGCATATCGCTTTTACACAATTGTAAAGTCAAAAAATTGTTAAGTTGAAGCATCTTCAGTTGGGGTTCCCAAGAATACATATATTTATAACTTGTTTTTAGGTATATGCTTCTATCAAAACCCCCACTGTATCCAGAAAAGAATATAGGACCGAATTCCCTTCTTCTTGCCACTTTCCCAGATTGTTGTAGGTGTTACAGAAGACCCCAAATGAAAACAAGCTCTCTTAGCCAAAAATACAAGGGACAGAGGGACTATTTGTTTAGAAATACTATGATTTGTAGTACTGATAATAGAACACAAAAATTTACAAGGGTCTTTCACAAAACACATCTCTTCTGTTCCTCACAACAACCCTATTAGTAGGATTTACTGCTTCTGAACATCCCCCAATTCAGAGGTGGGGTAACAAGTTCAGACACCCAAGTGACTAGTTCGGGATCTCAAGGAAGCAAAGTGACAGAGGTGAGATTGCCACCTGGTCTTTTAATTCCAAGTTTGACGGGCTTTTCATTATGACAAAATGTCACAAATACTAATAATAGCAAAATTATTATCATTAAGGTAACACTTTGATTTCTTTTCCTATGTGGCTGTGGTTGAAAGAAAATCTTTGTTTATTTGACATATTATTATTAGAAATTTAAGCAACTTACAATATTAGGGAGGAGGATGATGGCTTTTGGTCATGTAAAATACAAAACCTCTGTTTCATCAAGAACTGTAGGATTCAGCCAGCTACAAGCCAGGTTCTACTCCGGTTCAGTTAGCTTGCTGTTATTTGGGAACATGCAGGTCACATTGTAATGATCTAGCAGCACTGACACATCTTTCATGTGCAGTGGTCTCGCTTTTTGCGGTTTCGCTTTCTGCGGTTTGTGGTCAACGGCGGTCTGGAAGCAGATGATCCGCCTTCTGACATATCATCAGAAGGTCAGTGGTAGCCTAACGCCACGTCACAATGCCTACATCATCCACCTCACTTGTTCTCCTTGCTCGGGCATCCAATCATCTCACATCATCACAGAACAAGGGTGAGTACCGTATAAGGTGTTTTGAGAGAGACTACTTTCACATAACTTTTCTTACAGTATATTGTTACTAGTGTTCAATTTTATTATTAGTTATTATTATTCATCTCTTACTGTGCCCAGCTGATAAATTCAACTTTTTCACAGGTGTGTATTAATAGGAAAAAACAGCATATATAGGGTTTGGTGCTATCTGCAGTTTCAGGCATCCACCTGGGGTCTTGGAATGTATCCTCCATGGATAAGTGGAGGATTGTGTATATCAGCTTCCTACTTTCTACCCATATAATAGGAACTAAAGCCAACTTCAGGTTGTGCAAGCCCAGAACCCCTGTGCCTCATTAACCTCTTCCATACTAAGAATCTAGAGGTCCAGCTGGGACCTGGTTTAATGTGGCAATGCTACTTACTACTACCAAACCAAAAAATTATGATACTTTTGCTCTTTATGAAAAGAATCATCCATTTGGACCAGAACTTTGGCATTGTTTGGACAGAGGTAAATTTCCAACCTTACAATTAGACATCATGAAAGGAATTGTCCTTAATTTAAAAAAAACAAAAAACAAAAACAAAACAAAACAAAAAAACAACAGCAACAACAAAAACAGACAAAGCCATGAGACCCTCAGGACTTCCATGAAAGTTAAGAAAACATTCTA